AGCTGTTTTTGTACAAATTTCTGTGTGGCTGCTGAGAATTTGAGCGAGGCGGGCCGCCTCGTTCGTGTTAATGCCGGGGAAACACTGATATATATAAAATCATGAGTGGGGAGCTGATTGACTTAGTGTTTGAAGACATTACAGCTGAGATTACAAGTGGTTTTTTTGTAAACCTGACGTGAAAAACTACCGCAGGTTGTCATGTGATTGCATACAAGGATAGGAGTTGATCGTGATTATTTGTTCCACTCTATTTCTGCCAGGAAAATCAAAGGCAAAAGAGGTCTAAATTGGATGATGGAAGTAAAGAGGTGCCAGGGGTAGAAGTACGAGTGAGCAATCATCTTGCCACCAAAGAAACCCATGAAGGTATTCAGTATTGCAAAATATGATTTCAGCAAAATTTTGTTTCATCTGAATAGTAACAACTCGAGGGTGTCTTTTGTGCTGGCGAGAGTAACATGTTATAAATATAAATTGTGTAATAGTTGTACATTCTTATTTGCTAACAAAGTTAAGATAGGTGAAGACAATGTGCAAAATTACATCTAACCAATGTATCGAAGTGTGCGATTAATGTTTTTTGAGCAGCATTTACTGTGTGGCCCCCCATGCATGACTTGTTTGTGTGTTGATCGCAGAAGTTGAATCTACAAGTGCACCTGCGAGGCCCTCTGGTGTTCATTCTCAGCAGCCGACTCTGGTGACAGGTGGTGTTATGAGGCAGTACCAGTTGGAGGGTTTCGAATGGCTCAAGGTAAGATTTGTCACAGCCGCAAGCTCTCGATCGTATAGCCACACGTGGGAACCACCATCCACGTTGTCAAGCTCTCCAATTACCCGCCGCGAAATTTCACCAAGTTTTGTGGTGTGACTGCGTTCGATCAGGTGTACTTCACTCCCATTCGCATTTTCCTCGTAACCAACTACGTACAAACTAATGTATACGCCATATTTTTACGCGTTACAGATATTTTCGCGAATTCAGACTTGATGGACAATTTCGCAGTCGGTGAATTATGAATTATTCGATATGAACTATTCGCGGATGGGGACGCGTTCAGAGAATTCGCGAAAATTTAACCACGGCGAAATATACAGCGTATAAAGTACGTGGCACGAACAAAGCGGTCATTGGAGCGGGTGCACGGCTGAACCAATCAAAATGCGCAGCCACTTCGGAATATTAATGAAATACGCATGTGCCAACAGTAGTGTTGTCAATCGGTTGTAATTTCG